TATTGTTAAGATCTTACAGTACTGTCGTACACTTGTCAAAACTAAGAACCAATATTGGTACATTATTATTAACTATAAACTCGAGACTTTATTCTCATTTCACTAGTGGTTCCCCCACCCCCACCCCAATGTTCTTTCTCTGTTTCAGGATCCCATTTAGGATACTGCATTACATTTTATCATTAGTCTCATCTGGTATATGATAGTTTTTCAGTCTTTCCTTGTTTTTCATGACTTGGTGGGGTTTTTTTTAAAAATATAATTTATTGTCAAATTGGGTTCTATACAACACTCAGTGCTCATCCCACAAAGTGCCCTCTGCCATGCCCATCACCCATTTTCCCCTCTCCCCTACTTCCCCATCCACCTTCAGTTTGTTCTCTGTATTCAAGAGTCTCTTGTGGTCTGCCTCCCTCCCTCTCTGTTTGTAACTATTTTCCCCCCTCTACTTCCCCCGTGGTCTTCTGTTAAGTTTCTCAAGATCCACATATGAGTGAAAACATATGATATCTGTCTTTCTCTGACTGATTTATTTCACTCAGAATAATACCTTCCAGTTCCATCCACATTGCTACAAATGACAGGATTTCATTCTTTCTCATTGCCAATGATATGGTGGTTTTGAGGAGTACTGCTAGATAAGCAGTTTGTAGAATGTTCCTCAATTAGTATTTATCTGATGTTTTTGTTGTGGGGTTACAGGTTTGGGAGAAGAATACCACAAAAGTGAAACACCATTCTCATCATATCATATTAGGGACACATAACATCATTTGAGTTTATCACTGGTGATGTTAACCTTTATCTCTTCTTAGATGAAGTTCTCCTCCCTCCTCTTTCCGTACATGATTTTTTAGAAGCAAGTCACTATGTACAGCCCACACTAAGGAAGTGGAGGGATTAAGCTCTACCTTTTGGAGGGGGCAGTATCTACAGAAGTTATTTGGAATTCTTCTGTAAAGAACATCTATCTGTTCTTTATGTATGTATGTATGTATGCCATCACTTATGGCACAATGCACATTTATTTTGTGCTTTGGGTTATAATCCATTACTGTTTTATTTTCTTGCTCAAATTGTTCCCACTTTGGCCATGGGGAGGCCTTCCAGTTGTCTCTTGTGTTCTTTTGCCATGCCCCATCCTTTTGTTTTTTATGGACTTCTTACTTTCTGGCACAAGAAGATCTTTCAAGTTCTTCTTATAGTTTCCCTACCTCTCTAGCATCAGCCATTTCTCTGAGGATTCCTGATTTCTTTTATTTTAGAATGATATTAGAAGCCAAGATCTGAACCCTGGCTGTGCTCATTGCCACCAGGGTGTCATTACTTCTACATTCTCTCAGTGGCAGAATTAGGAAACAGATGTATGTATATCAGCCCTTGTCACACACATATCTATGGTATTTCTGTATCTACATTTGTTTCTGCAGGAAACGTTTTCTTTTTTTTTGAGCATTTGTATGTAGTTTTCTGGATAGCCAATAACGAAATATGATTCATTGCCTACTATCAACAATGATAATTTTTTTTTTAAAAAAAGGATGAAAATGAAAATGGAGATGTTGGGATAAATATGGTTTAAGAACCAAGCCACCTTCTAGTCACATTATGTCGTTTCAGAGATGAAGAGATGTGAGTTCAGCAGGACCCTACGAGGTTAAGGAGCTAGTTAGTGGTACAGTCAGGTTTGGAATCTGGGTGTTCGAAATGGAATCTCTTTATTTCCACCATATCACATGCCTCTTTAAGATGATTAGCAAGTGGGGCGCCTGGGTGACTTAGTCGGTTAAGCGTCCGACTTTCGCTTAGGTCATGATCTCGCGGTTCGTGGGTTCGAGCCCCACGTCAGGCTCTGTTCTGACTGCCAGCTCAGAGCCTGGAGCCTGTTTCAGAGTCTGTGTCTCCCTCTCTCTCTTCTGACCCTCCCCTGTTCACACTGTCTCTCTCTATCCTAGAAATAAAATAAAAATATTAAAAAAAAAAAAAAAAAGATGATTAGCAAGTATTCTTGGCTTTGTATTCAACTCAATAATTAGCTTTTGGGTACACTTGAAGCAGATTAGAATGTAATTTCAGAAACTGGGGTGCGCAGGTATTATCTAGCTAACTGAAGTTTGCTAGAGTCACTAAGGGGAGTCACACTCCCTGTTCTCTGGCAATTTATTTTAGATCAACAACTTGAAAATGATGCTCTCATGACCAGATGTTAGTGGGTAAATCTTTTCATGTGATTATGATGGTGATTCTACGTTGTTTTCCTTTTTGTAACTGTCTTTTAAAAGATGCTTTTGCTCTGGGAAGGGACTCAAAGGGCTCCTGTAGGATAGATACTTGATGCATATACCTGCTTCTTAGAAATGGGATATAAAACAATAAAGGAATCTGCGTAATGTTATCCAAGATGCTGGTGATAGGGTAAAAAGGAAAAATGAAAGCTATGGCCCCCGCGGCCCCACTTCTAACAGGCCAACTACACAGCCCCTTTATTATAAATTGCTCTTGGCAGCTTGTAAAGCAAAGAACACTTCAATGTTTGTCTCCAGAGACTCTTGAGGCAATAGGACAGTCCTCGGATGCCTTCAAATGTTTCAGCCATTTCCTTTGAGAAGTGGGTATGTTTATACTTGGTAAATCATGTCTTGTCACCATGTAACAGTAAAATCTTCCTGTTCTTTTCCATTTGAACCTATCCGTTCCAGAGACTTATCAGTTTGTTTTTGTTTGGTGCATTGTGAACATCCAAGTTTTTTCGTGGAAATAAATGGTAACAGCTGTTTTTCGTGTACCAAATAATAGAATTGTGAACCTTAACCTTGAGATGATATATCCAAATTTTTCCAGGTGTGGAAATGACTAGAAAAGTTCGTTTTGGAGTAATCATCCCAATACAGAATCACATCCAGCTGCTGGCCATCAACTTCATTCAAAGAGAGAACATTTCTATAGGCCTTTTTTTTTTTATTCCAACATTCCCTTTGTAACCCTTTTAAAATATTGCATTTTCACACACACAAACACACACACACACGAAAGTCCCATCTTCCTTCTCTTCTGCTTTACTCATCTCCATGGCTCTGACCACCATCTAGTATAGTATATATTTTACTTCTTTAGATTTTTAATTGTCTGCTTCACCCAACTAGAACGTAAGCTGTATGGAGCAGGGAATTTTTTTTGTTCACTGCTGCATCCCTAGACCCGGAATAGTACCTAGAATATAGTAAACGTTCAATGAACCCTTTTGAATGAATGACATGAAAGTTGCAAGTTGTGATCATTTGGCCCCTGATTTTAATATAAGTACAAATAGTTGAGTTTTATCTTATAGGATTATTTTATATTATAGGTTAAATAAAACATATTATTTAAAATAGGGATCTATCTATTTACAAAAAATCTCAGAATTTGTATGAGACATGGTATAGTTACCTAGAAGTTATTAGGTTAGTCCAGAAATGCAGTACTGTTATCACATGCAAGGAACTTTGAAATTCTCTGCTAAATATCACTCATGAAATTAGTGGAAGAGCTAAAAGGAAAAAAAATTAAGTTTTAAAAGCTGAATTGCCTTCAGATCCAAAGATATATTGAACCCTAAGTGACATTGCCCTGTCCAATCCCTTTTTCTCTCCACCAGATTTAGCAGAAAATGACTTTTCATTGTTGTAAAAAATCCTATGATCCAGTAATTGCACTAGTGGGTATTTACCCAAAGAATACAGAACATTAATTTGAAAGAATATATGCACCCCTATGTTAACTGCAGCATTATTTACAATAACGAAATTATGGAAGCAACCCAAGTATTCATTGATAGATGAATGCATAAAGAAGATGTGGTTTATATATACAATGGAATATTAGTCAGCCATAAAAATGAATGAAATCTTCACATTTCAGTGACCCGGATGGAGCTAGAGACTATAATGTTAAGCAAAATAAGTCAGTTAGAGAAAGACAGATGCCACATGATTTCACTCATATGTGGAATTTAAGAACTAAAACAAAGAAATAAAATAAAGAAAAAAACAAACAAACAAACACCAGACACTTAACTATAGAAAATAAACTGATGGTTACTGGAGGGGAGTTGGGGGGGGGGGATGGGTGAAATAGGTGAAAGGATTAAGAGTGCACTTTCATCATGATGAGCACTGAGTAATGTATGGAAGTGTTGAATCACTATATTGTACACCTGAAACTAACATAACACTGTATGTTAACTATTAGGAATTAAAATTTTAAAAATTAAAAACTACATGAAAATAAAAGTAAACTTTGAATTTGGAATTTAAAAATCTATTTTTAAATTTTTTTTTAAATGTTTATTATTTATTTTTGAGAGACAGAAAGACAGAGTGAGAGTGGGGGAGGGTTAGAGAGAGTGGGAGACACAGAATCCAAAGCAGGCTCCAGGCTCCATGCTGTCAACACAGAGCTCCATGTGGGCTGGAACTCATGAACTATGAGATCATGACCTGAGCCGAAGTCAGATGCCCAACCAACTGAGCCACCCAGGCGCTCCTAAAAAATCTATTCTGACTAATATTTGCCAAATATAGAGAATATTAAAAAGAATATGCTGTAAAATTTAAGGTAATTCCTCTTAAAGAACGTCAGCATTCGTTTAGATATATGGATGCTGACATGTTTTTATTTTTAATCATATTGCTTTAAAAATACACTTTTTTAATTTAAAATTCTAGTATCTGAAGTCCTTACACTTATAAAACTAATGGATTCTTATTTGGCTAAGCAATATGTGAGACAATACAAAAGGTTCTACAACTTGACTAGTGCAGTGTTATAAACTAGATCATTACAAACAGTCAATCTAATGCCAAATTTCTCACAGCATTCTCTCCAGGACAAGAAGCAAACAAATAAAAGGCAACCTAGTCAGCAAACATCACAAGCTTGTTCGCAAGCTGTCTTTGGACTGACACGATGCATAAATTACATCTTTGTATAAGAATGACGTATTTTCATATCACCACCTTATATTCCAGAGCATTGGGGAGGCACCCATGTCCGTTGTGTTAAATCAGCTGCTGCCCATGATGAAGCCTTTGAACCAGAGGACCAACGATGACTACAGCCCTGAAGACCTGTTGACCCTCTTGATCTATATCTACTCTGTCGGCGGAGAGTTGGCAATGGACAGTGACCTGGGGGAAGCCTAAGAAAAAGTGAAGAAAGCATTGGCTCAGGTCTTCTGTGAAGAGTCTGAATTGTCACCTTTGCTGCAACAAATCACAGGTGAGTGTTTAATAAAAACAATAGGACATAAAAAGTCACTGATACAGAAAAGGGTTTAAAAATAAAGGCATTTTAGGAAGAGGATGTAACCATGTTCATTGGAATTATCTGGAGTTTTATGAGGCCTAATGAATGCTAGCCAGCCTTTAGGATTAGGTTTTCATTATAGTGGCTTTTGTGTGTGTGCGCTTGTTTGTTTTTTTGTGGGGTTTTTTTGGTTTTGTTTTCCCAGTTGTAGTGAAACGGCCTTCTAGTTGCCTGTCACAGCTCCTATTTTTAGAGCCTTGTTAAAATAGCAGAATTCTCACAGGGTATAATATCTGTAAGGAAAAATAAAATGCAGTAAGCGTATTTGAAAGGGTTTCTGTTGACATGTTTTCTTTGAAATTATCATTTCAAACTTTAAAAAAGAAAAAGTACACACATGCACAAAACTGCCCTAAGATGCTACCCAATGTCATAGGATTGAAAATTTCAGTTTTCAAGAGTACTTTCATACTTTTGACTTCTCATCTTTCATTTTGAATCTGAGTTAATTGGTAGTATCTCAGATAATCTCTAAACATGCCAGTAATGTAGGCTCTGCTGATTTCGGGGGAAATATATAAAATGTTACCATTTTACTATGATGTAACTCATGGAGATACTCATTTCTGTTTTTCTTATCAAACTCCGTATTATTTATGTTTTGTGCAAATCTTATTTCCATCAGTATGGATTGAGCCCGGTTCTGTTTAGGAGTGAAAAGTTGTCGAAGCTTACACACAAAACTTAAATACTTTAAAAACCTGTCTAGTTTCCGTGTGCCCATGAATGTGTGTGTGTAGGTGTCTGTAGACCTCTCCATTCAGGAAGGCTCCACTGAGGCACAGTATGTATTTTCCAACTTTTCCTCCTGTGGCCTGTTGTGTCTCCCTGAGGGAATTTTTCAGATGGCTCAGAAAGAGGTTGTGTAGTTGTTGACCTTGGTGCTCCATGCCGTGCACTCACCTGCCCACCTTGTCTGTGTTTGGTTATGGCAAACAAAACCCTGACGAGATGGAAACCCAGAGAAGTTTCCACAAAAATGAAATGTTTCCTTGCTTTGCCTGGAACCTATCTGCCAACTTTAAAACTTACTTAAGGAAAACTCGTGGAATTTACTCACATTTCATTAAGTTATAGCACTGTATGTGATGACGTGTGTTTGCTGGGCTGTAAATGAATATTGACTTAGAAAAGTTTAATATGGTTTATATAGTGCCTCGAATAGTAATTTGATTCAAAGTAAATTTCAATGCTAGGAGAATTTGATTGGAAGTTATTCTTAAAATGCATAATTTCAGAAACAGACAACAAAGATGGCTTGTTTTAGCTGAGGTTATTTGGATGGCTTTTCTGAAACGTTAGTATGTTACTATATTATTTTGGGAATTGAAATCATGCTGTATGAGTATTCATTTAATATTAACTCAAGGTGTTTATTGACCCAGCGTTTCACCCTTTATTAGTTTCTCTATTTATGATTGCTTAGGATATTGCATTTTCTTGCTTTTAAATGTGATCTCACATTTAAAAACACTTCTGTGCATTCATGTTTATATTAGGAAAATTAGTAAGTTTAGTGAATGAAGCTTCAAAATAAGAATTTGTGAGAGATTTAGTATATTTAAAAATTTCAGAGACCTCTTGTTTTGCAATACAAAGTATACGTTACTAGCTAGATTTACTTTGCATGTACAGTTTCAACAGGGGTAGATAAGGTACACTATTTAAATTTGGCATCAGTGAACTTACCAGTGGAATACATATGTGTTGATCAACCTCTGTGGACACCAAAAGGTTTATTTATGAAGATAGACTTTTACTTGGCCATAGAGCTACCCCTTATTAAGTCTGTTGGCTAGTCAAATGTCCTGAGAAGTGTAGTATTTACATTATCAGTTAGCTGTTGAGGAGACTGATTACATCTCAAGACAAAAAGCACTAGGATGGTGTTGGAGTAGCAGTTGGCTCCATCTTGTAGAAGAAGGTGAGATATTCCAGTGTATATAGGAAGAATAGAATTGCCTTCCAGGTTACCTTCCAAATGCTTGGCCTATCGTGGATCTAGGTTAGCCTGGCATGAACTTGCCGACAGTGTTGTATTTATGTTATTCGAGTTTATAGTCTTGGCTCACTTGTTACTGGGTGGCAGAATTTCTTTTATGCCTTGTGCACATTTTGGGGTCAATGAAATTTGGCTTAAAAATATTGTTTTAAGCGAGCAATTAATCAGAATTCCACATTTTGTATTGTAATTTTATTCATCCCCGTGTTGATAGAATCAAGAAAACAATACTGTTTCTGTATTGAAAACTCAAGTGTGTGATCACCACCCAAAAGGGAAAGGATCAGAATTTGTACCCAGGTGTTCTGGCTCGGAAGCCAGAACTTTCAACAAGAGATTCTAAGCCTGCTACAGGCTCACTTCCATAACCATTGCATTTATTATATTTTGTAACTCACTTGCTTACATGTATTGTTGTATGCCATGCATGTTCAACCATTCCATCATGTAATTTTAGGAACAGAGAATTAATACTTGATTAATACTGTACATTTTGCCTGTGGTTTTTACTCTGTGTATAACAGCTGCTTATAGATGTTTTATCATACCTTCCTTTTTTTGTGCATATATCCTCTTTGTTTATGCATTGCTATTAAGAAATTAAGATATTATTTACAGTCATTGAAATCTATTGGCTGTCTAGCTTTCTGAAATAGGAGTAGCAAACTTAAATTCTTTATCTTTTAATAATATCTCTTGACAATAACTTCCCTGTGTTTAAAATTCATATTTTTATATGTTGAATATGTAATTTACTTTTGGCAATTTCTTTCATTTCTCCCCATTCTCCCCTTTTATGGAAAGGACAATGAGAAATTGTAATTGGCAAAACAAACCGAAATTTAAGCATGGCCAATGGCAGCATACTATTTTCCTTTTGATAGCTATATTTTAGGGAGAGTGGTGGGCAAAAACTCTCTTTTCTACTCACACAAAATAACAAGGACTGGCTCTCTGGGTGTCAGGGATAGGACCTGTAAAAAGAAAATTGGTATGGCCTGAAAATGTCAGTTAGCATGCTTTCTTGGTCTTGCTGAGTTCAAAGCGAATATCAGTTTCCAAATACACTAATGTTTGCATAGGAGTAACAAGAGAAAATAAAGGAAAACCATTGAACTTTCTTCAGAGAATGAAATCAAAATTCTAATTTTAAAGATCTGTGTCAGCTTGGAATGTCCTCATACAATGAGGTGTATCAGATAAAGCATAGATTTTAGTTGTAGAAATCCTTGATTCAAAAGTCCTGGCTGTGTCATTTCCTAGCAGTGTGTGTTTGTCAGCATATCATCCATCTCTGAACCTAGATAATAAACGAGTGGCCTATTGACCACTCAATGATTTTACTGAAAATAAGATGGTGTTATGTGTATGAGTTAATTTCCAGTCCATACACACTGTGAATAAGTAATTTTCTCCATGGCTGTTGTTATTTGTATAGCATCTGGCCATCATGCAGGGGAGTGCCTCCCAACCACATTCCCACGGTGACACACATAGACGACAAGTATGTTTGCATAGTGTACCCAGGTAAGTGGACAGAACGTTTTAGTCAGAAGCAACCAGTCCCAGGAGCTTTGACCACTTCAATCCCTACCTACCTGACTTGTGAACTTGGCACACATACAAGCCATTAGGAGCAGACCAGTGCTCTAACATATGTTGTTCAGAAGGCTCTGGAATCAGAAAAAGAAGAAAAACAAAGCTTGCATGTAGTTTTGACATCCCAAACTACTTTGGAAAAATTTCTTTTTACTAAACAGGTTTTATATTACCTATTGATTTATTTCCCTAGGTTTTTATGGTATCTTTAAAGGAAAGATCAGTAGGGGCTAGATGTGTTTAGTTTAGTGTAAAGCTAGGGAATGAGTGATTCAAAGTACCCAAAAAATCTATGGTTCAAGATAGAGGCATGATAATACCATGGAAACTGTATTTATTCTTCTTCCTGTTGATAATTCTTCCTGTGATAATTATCATCACTTATTGTATGATTGCATTAGGATTATACCTCGATATGTGTAGTGGGAAATTTACCAAATTAGTTTAACAGATAGGGATTTATTTTTTCTCAGCAGTAGGTTCAGAGACCGGCAGCAGAACTCATGCTCCTTCTGGCTCCTCCCACCGTCCCTCCCTCTCTGTCTGTCTCCCTCCCTTCCTTCCTTCCTTCCTTCCTTTCTTCCCTCCTTTCTTCCTCCCTTCCTTCTTTCCTGGTTTTGCCATCATGGTCATGAGGTAGGCACTCCTCCTTGACTTATTATGTCCATGCTTCAGATGATAAAGGAAGAAGATTGAAAGTGAGAGGCATATCCTAATGGAGTCTACCTTTTTCCATACTTGGAAAACAATAACATTTCTGTCTGTCCTACCCAAAAGACTTGTATCGGTGGCTAGAATTGGGTTTCATGACCACCTCTGGCTGCTAGAGAATTTGATGAATATTATTAACTGGGCATATATGTGTCATGAACAAAGTCAGCATTCTGTTTGAAGAAAGAACGTGAGAATGGACAGTAGCTAAGAAACTTGTATTTGCTGCAATTATCATTATGAGTTTCCCTGACAGAGGAAATTCTAAGGCAAGACAATATACTGTAAGGCAGAGTGATGCCCACGGTGCTTTAATTTTACAGTTATAATATTGAAATTTCTTTTATAATCTATACTGAAATAATGTGCTGTTGTGTGCTAGGATCACTGGATTTATATCACGAGTATTTTCGATCAGTATTTATTGAACATGTCTGCATACCTGGTATTATTCTAAGCTCGCAGAGCATAGAAACCCTGGGGGTGGCGGTTCTGGAAAGTAAAGGCCCTCAGTCCAGGATTAGGAGTCACGTGTCTGGCTTTTAGTTCTGACTCTGGATCTTCATAGTCAGGTGTGTGATCTTTTTTTTGTTTTGTTTTT